ACTCGTTCTACTCAACTCTCTCCTCACTCGTTCTACTCGACTCTCCCCTCACTCGTTCTACTCGACTCTCCCCTCACTCTGTCCCCTCATCTCCCTCATGAGAAGACCCTCAAGTGTCGCTAGCAAGACTCACCGCTGCTGCGAGTTGTGCGGAGTTGCAGTGCTGACACCTCGTATATGGGAGGAGCGCTGGGGAAGTGCAAATAATATCCAGTTTATTACAGATAATATTACTAAAAAGGTCTCAGAAATTGGCATTAAATAGCGCCTTTCCATCGTATTGCTATTTTAAATCTACAATTACTAAGAATCTAATCAAAATAATCTAATATAATCTGATCAAAAATTACTAGGAATATAATCTAATTCTGTGATTAGAAAGAATCACAGAAGACATAGAAGATGATATATTACTTATTTTTTTCTCCTTCGCGTATTCTTTTAAGAATGTAGACAAATCGCTCAGTTACTTGGTATATTTTCTTATGACATCTCAAACGACCGTTCTAAACTATTCGAAACAAACTAATGAGACATGTTAAAAAATGTTCTAGAAATATATATGAAATTAATTAATTTTTAGCTGGTCAATTCGACATCGAGTCATCGCATAGCCTACTTAGGTCTCACTTCAGGATTTATTCAAGATAAAAAATTTTGACTACTAAAAAGCTAACCTGCCTGTCGCGCGCCATGCCCGCGCCAAAGATGGCCGGCTCAATGGGACCAGACATAGAACCTGATGAAGGTGCAGGTCCTCAAATAAGTTACTTGGGTGAGTCTTTGGCCTTAACTGAGTTTAGAAAAAGTGTAAGCTTATTAATTAGCAGAAGATCATGCAGGATATTATTAATTAATGTTATAAATGACCCATGGGTTATGCTAGAGACTACGTTATCAAGCTTCTGCCAGTCACTAGCAATCAGTTCCGTATTGTACGTTACCTCATATCCTAGTCCACGTCGTGAAATTGAAAGGATAGAATAAAAAAAAGCAAATAGTAGCGTTGACTGAAAGAATGAAGTAATTTTAAGAATTTTATCGTGTAAGAGTAGCCATGGTTGAATTATATATTGTTTCAACCATGAGTGTAGCAACTCTCTCTCTCTGTAATGTCAGCGACTCAACTTTACATACTACAGATGAATGGTTATCCATTTACATTTATCGTCTTTAATTTCAAGGAAAATCCCAATAAATGATAAATTTTTCACTTAATATTCGCAAATTCTTTATTCAAAGTTTCTATACACATTTTGCGTGAGTGAATACTGTATATATTTACTGCCATCAGATGAATGTTCAACGTAGGTAGAGAAAAAAAATAATGTTGAATATACTGACTGAAATTACAGTGTATATATATATATATATATTGTATTTTTGACGTTATAAGTATGACGACTTTTGATAACTTTCATTAAAAACGAAGAACGAACTGCTGTTCTAAAAGACGTTGAAATACACACACAAAAGCAAGTTGTTATTATATTAAAAACTTTCTATCGTGTGAATGTAGCAAACGAACTGAAAGTAACAGGTCTTAAAGAACAATTATCCATTTGCTGAATAGTATTCTTTAGTCATTTTTTAGCGCATTTTCTCATTTATGGAAAAAAATGCACTATTGTGCTCGCCATGTCCGTCTGTCTGTCCGTCTGTCCGTCTGTCTGTCCGTGACTTCAAGTTTTCGTCGACGAGAAAATGCGCTCTCTGTCACTCACTGCAGCGAGTACTGAGTTATATTTTTTAAGTTTTTCCATAGAGTAATATTAGCTAACTGTTACCGCACTTAGATGAAGAATTCGACAGGAAATTTGTGAATAATCTGGAGTTCTAATGAAGATTGTAGTTTCGTTTCCGAGCATTGGAGATCAGAAAAGCATTATCACGTTGGCTTTCAGTTACTCGGAGACGAAAACAAAATAAAATTATCCGTTGGCTATTCAATAAATAATTTATAAATACAGAACTGGTGCCTTTTTCAGCGAAAACAATATAAACATTTTCCCATGTCTTGTCATTACTAAAAAAACTGATGCCTATTTCCAGGCAGTTCCATGTTGATATTACAAGTCAAGTGCACCAAATGGACAAAATAAAATCTACCCTCTGGACAACCATGACTACATAACTAATGCATGGTTCCAGGCTATTCCATGATGGCAGTTCCGGCCATATCCACTAAAAGGACCACTATATGAACAAAATAAAATCTATATATATATACCCTCTGGATAACCATTACTACAGAACTAATGTTTGGTTTCGCAGGCTATTCCATGATGGCAGTGCTGGCTTTGTCCGCCATCTGGATCACAGTGTTCTCAGCATCCCCCGGTGTGATGCCGCACGCTGATCCCGTCTACGACTTCATCATCGTCGGGTCGGGGGTCGCGGGAAGTGTTGTGGCGTCTCGACTTACAAACGGCACGGGTTATAGAGTTTTATTGCTGGAAGCTGGTGAAGAGGAGCCCTGGGTATCTAAAATTCCGCTGTCGACGCTAATGTTGCAAGGTTCCAAGTACGACTGGAAGTACTACAGTGAACCTCAAGAGTTCTCTTCCTTTGGAATGTTGGGAAGAGTAAGTTGAACTTTGACTAACTAATACCGTATTGATTTTTTATTTTTTTTTCAATTTATAATTGAAATTAATGTTTTTTTCTTGCATGAGATTCAAGTTGTGTTGTGACATATTCTCCAAAATGATGTCAGATATTTACAGAATTTCCTCATGTATCAAAACATTGAAATGTGATTTGGAAATAATTTAATTTTCGATCTATTCACCAGAAATCTTTCTGGCCCCGTGGGAAGATGTTGGGAGGGTCAGCTCAGCTCAACTACAACATTTTCACGCTAGGCTGGAGACTTCACTATGACCGGTGACAAAAAATAGTCTGTGGTTTTACTTTATGAAATTTGCAGATAAGAACATTGATTTATACACGATAATCTCATAAATGTCCATTGCCATTCGTATTGAAGACTTTTTATCTAATGTAATGATAAGTTTCGTCTAATATTATTTCAGTACATTTTCCAAATCATTATGATGCAGGCATATCGCGCCAGTCCAATTAATAGAAATTATGTTATTCATACAACACAATAGGAATGATTTCATACAACCATACAACACAATAGGCAAATATCTGTGTTTTTTTCTGTTACATAACATAACCATAAGAATATTAGAACAATCATGACATATTAATATAAGAACATCATATAAATGAAATACCGTTATGAAAGAAATGAATCAAACCTGTGCTTGATCTTTCCGATATCATAACCACAGGAATATAAGATTATCATAATATAGGAGTAGAAGAATATCATATGAATATAAATACCGTAATGTAAGAAATAGGCACGTATCTGTGTTAGATGTTTTTGATAACATAACCATTATAATATCATTCAAGTAATTACCTTCTATATTTAACAAAATTCTTCATTGCCCGACTCAGATGGGTGTTACAGCATGGACTGACAGGATGGGACTCCTCCAGCTTAATGAAATACGTCAAGGAAATGTTCTGCTTCCCAGTAAGGGTGGATATAAATAAAGTGTTTAGGCTACTGGATAATTTATTAAATTGAAATAAATTAAATTATTTTATGCAAATGTTGTATATTTTGAGTGAATAATAAGGGAGGTACTAGTATAAATGGAATTGGAAATAAGGTTAGAGTTTCGTTAGTCGAATCGACACAAATCAAAAGTTTCCAATGAGTTTCAGAATTGAATACTTATTTAACTAACATGGCAAAATATGCATGTTGATTCAAAATTTAATTATATTACATGTGTTGTAATCATTTATAATGATCGCTATTATAAAACCGCGATGATATAATAGGGCGGCATCTATTGTTATTTGTGTATGGTCCATAATATACTATTTCAGTGTTCGCGTCGTGAAAACTCATGTTTTAGAATTAAACTTATCGCTTCTCACAGCAAAAAGAGGACAAGGGAAGGGAAGAAAGTCGAGAGCTCGGTGAAGAATCTGGGGCAGCAACCGGGGACTGGAGGGACGGGACCCCTAAAGGGGACTGGGGGGACGGAACCGCCTGCGCCGGGGGCGCTATGCCCCTGACGCAACTAACTTCGCCCGTAAGCTCCATCTTTGCAGAGGCGGTGCAAGATCTGCGTAAGTTGTTTGCTTTTTATTTATTCGAAAAAATATATTGGATTTGTTTCGCTCTGAGTGAAGGTTGATTTTCGGCCTAGTTCGCTACGGTCATCAACGCGATGAAAATTAGATCCCCAATGTATATCTGAAAGAACCTTCGCTACCTAACCAAAATTTTATGTTGTCCCTATAGATGATTGAAATCAATCCATAAAAGAATTCGATTTTATTTGTACCCATTGCATACTTTTGTTCTACGATGATTACAAAATTTATATGTGTAACAGAATCTTCGACGAACGACTCCAGTTTTGGCCACACGCAACTCGTGTCAGTGCATCATGGTGAGCGCTGGTCAACTCTGGCGACATTCTTAAGGCCCTCGCTGGAGCAGAGGAGCCTCCATGTCGTCATCCAGGCTCACGTCACTAAGGTTACCACGGGAAATATTCCACAAGAAATTAAGCGCTTGAAATCTTTCGGCTCAGTGGAGCAACTTTTATTTTCCGTTTACATTATTTTAGTTGACAGCTAATATGGAGCTGTTAACTGTGATTACATACTCTAATTATTTACTATACTATACATTAGTATATGTGTTTCAGCTCAATAGAGTAACTTTTATTTCCAGTTTACATTATTTTAGTTGTGAGCTAATGCGGAGCTGATAGATATGGTTACTTATATTAATTATTTGTTGTATATTAGTATATGTTTTCCAGCTCTATAGAGTAACTTTTATTTCCAGTTTGCATTATTTTAGTTGTGAGCTAGTGCGGAGCTGAGTAACTTTTATTTCCAGTTTACATTATTTTAGTTGTGAGCTAATGCGGAGCTGATAGATGTGGTTACTTATGTTAATTATTTTTTGTATATTCGTATATGTTTTCCCGCTCTATAGAGTAACTTTTATTTCCCGTTTAAATTATTCTATTTTAAACCTGATGCAGAGCTGCTAACTTGTGATTAAGTATTACATATATTCATTTTTTAATAATATTCATCAACAACAATATTATTTGGAAACAATGGCAACATTTATTAGTATTTTTACCCTCAGATTTTGTTCGAGGGCACCAGGGCGGTGGGCGTAGAATGGCACCAGTGGGGTGCGGCTAAGAACTCCCGTAGGACGTTCGTTCGGGGTGAGGTCATCCTCGCTGCAGGGGCCGTTAACTCTCCTGCAATCCTCAGGCAGTCGGGCGTCGGCAAGAGGGAGGAGCTTGACGAACATGAGGTGAGTTACTCATTAATTATTTTTAATTATATAAAGGGCAATTGGTCAAGATTTTTCAGAAAAAACAAGCGAGGGCCGTATTATAAAAAATTGCATAAGTTTGCCTAGCGGCTCATGTCCACAAAACCGTGTTAATACACGTTACGGCCTTACCATATACGTACATAGACCCTCCAACACACATATAGCCCCCAAAGTACACGTAACGAATGATTTCTGGGTTTAGGGTTTCGTGGGTTTAGCTTCAGAAGTCGTCAGTGGCTAGTGGAATAAAAACTTGTACGATGTACCAAGGCCGGGTGCGAACTTTTCGGCGTTCATTTTCGGTGAGCTAACGCATTTGTGGTAGACTTAACGCAGAGAAAACAAACTCGAAATGAAATTTATACAGGTAAAATACAGTTAGGCTTTTGAAAAAGTATAATCATTTCATAGTGGTATAGTTGGGTATAAGTTCTCCTACTATGAGAGCTTGATTGAAGATCAGATAAAGTTTTTTATTGAGTTATATTATTTCAATTCTAGATCGAAGTTGTGGTAGACAGCCCAGGTGTCGGAGACAACTTGGCTGATCACATGAACCTGCCTGTTTACGTGCACATCAATTCTTCTATTTCCATCAATCCCGACAAGCTCATTTCTTTCCAGAACTTTTGGAAATACTTCATGTATCGGGAAGGCAAGTAATGTTTCAACTGCAATAATAGACTTATGGAACAAGTTGAAACTTCTTAAATTATCGCAATAATTACCCTAAACTATTTTGGCCTATAATTATAACTCAATTAAGGAAACCTGTCAATGCAGCCTCATCAAATGGGAAATTGATAGGTAAATAATACACTAGCATATTTACGTTCACCATATAAACATAATTCTGAAGTCGTTGAATGATATTGATATCCTGAACTTTCATTCGTTCAGATTGACTCAGGGTATCTGGTATCGGGTATTTAATTTTGCAGAATATACCTGGCATTTGAATTGTATTAAAGTATCGGGCAAATTAATTATGACTAGACGTGGTTTCAAGTATGTATATTAAATGGTGGGTAAATTAATTAATTAATTAAATTAATTGTGATCACATTTGCTCATTGTCCCGATCTTTTATTTAATTTTGAGAGCATGATTTTGTTTTGCAAGCACCATGCAATGATTATTATGTTTCTAATGCCATGAATTTTCAATCCCTGTGGCATACTATGTATAAAAATTTATTTATTGAAAAGGCGAAAATGAATACGGTTACTAACTACGGTAAAATTATAACCACTTTACTTATTAACAACTATATTATTAACCCCTTGAACATGAGGCTGATTGATTAATATTTCAGGTCTATTTACGGACACTGCAATAGGCGGTATTCTCACCGAGTACAAAAATTTCACCGTTACTGAAAACAACAATCTTGCACACACTGCTTTTGAAACGTCCGTGGGTCGGGACACATGCAACGACGAAGAAGAAAATCATGATGAAATACAAGACGAGGATGCATTCCAAGAAACAAACACGTGCCCAATAAGTTCATCGTCTTTAGAAGACAACGTTGTAGTCAAGGATATGAACACTGATGAAAATTTCCACGGTGAACGTGAGGAAGAAGTGCCTGTGAGTTTACTGCTGTTCAACATGGGTGCTGTGGAGCGTGAATCTTACGCTAAGGCGGCCAACCTCGACCCAAAGGTATATAATATAAGATGATTTCAAACATAGATATATTATAATTATTTCCATTTATTATAACGGACAATTTGTGATAAATTGATTGTCTAATCATTTTTTTACATCTAACATATCTGAGAATAAATGCTGACTGACATTATTGGTTCGACGATACTGTCTTCTTATTTCTTTATTTATACTCGTGTGTTGGTCAATCATTTAACGTCTTTATTCTCCTGTTTCTTCACATCTGTTTCAGTAGTCCTCATATATTTATTTATATTTGTAATCTCTCTGCCAAGGTGTTTGACGAAACTTACCCTGACATGAGGAACAAAAGCCGAGAGGGTGTATTTCTGCTGGCCTCCTGCATGCAACCTTTCAGCCGAGGTCACGTCAAACTTTCACACGAGTCGCCCCAGCATCAATCAATACAACCTAACTACCTAAAGCATCCTAGTGACCTTCACTGTATTACGAGAGGTAAGCGTTCATTCTATTGTTTTATTTTGGAAACTATATTGGTACAGTTGAATATTTCATGCTTTCATAGCAAATTCGTAAAAAAATGTCACATTTGTGATCTCAAAGTGTGAGCCCAAGCCCCAAGGTTTCATTCACATAGAACTTCTCTCTTAATTTTTACTATCTTTTACATTTTATTTTTTAGCTTTCTGCTAGAAAATGGCATCTTTCTTCCAATTTAGATAACCGTTATTATCTTCTCAGCATTCAGACTGGCTGAGCGCTTCGTACGTACGGCAGCCATGCAGCGCATCGGCGCTAAGATTCACTACCCGCAACTGCATCGCTGCAAGACGCTGCCGAACGCAAGGCTTCAGAACGCTAATGTTGACAGCAGCGGTATGGATGATGTTCCAAGTAGCGCAAAAAGTAATTGTGAGGAAGTTAGAAATAAAATTAAAAATTTATAGTAATTTGAAAATAAAAATTGAAATTAGGATTTAGGAGTAAGTTGAAAAATAAAATAAAAAATTGGGAAAAATTGAAATTAAAAGCCTAATTGGGAAAATTTGAAATTGAAGTGGAAATTGGGAGGAAGTTGCATATAAAAGTGTAAAATTGAGAGAAGGTTGAAAAATTAAGATTTGATAGAAGATAAAATAGAAGTAGAAACCTTGAGACAACTGACAATAAAAGTAGAAATTCCAAGGATGTTGAAATGAAAGTAGTAAACGTCTACCTCGTCCGTAGGCGTTCCAAAACTCAAGATAGATTCATCACCATCACATTCTCATACTTGAACCTACCCCCTACCCTCTCGTACTTGAATATACCTCCTATCTCCCTCGGCTTTCTGAAACGTAAAACGAACTTCCCTTGCGTGCAGCTCCTGATGTGTTGGGATCCTCTGACATATCCGATGAGGAGGTAGGATGCATCGCGCGGACCCTGGCGTTCACAGGATACCATCCCATAGGAACCTTGAAGATGGGTCCCTCCAGCGACCGAGAAGCTGTCGTAGATTTACAGCTCAGGTAAATGATAATGCAATATACCGAGGTCAAATGTGATTCTTCAGTAAAAAAATAACATCAGCTTTGTACTAAACATTTCTGCTTCGGATTAAACGAATCGACAGGCCAAATCCCATTAAATAAATATCAATTATTTGGACCTGCAATTGTGTAATCAAAATTGCCTGCCGCCAAAAAATTTAAAACTTTTCCTACTTAATACAATGCCTTATCAGATCACTTGTCTACTTCTTGTATAGCTTCGATCAATGAAAAAATGTTCATTTATTATAATGAGACTAAATTTACAAATACACTGCAGATAACTGTACGAGAATACAAATTTAACTGATCGCAGGGTGCAGGGAGTTGACGGGGTACGGGTGGTGGACGCCTCGGTGCTGCCTTCCCACCCTGTGCCCGCACCCATGGGCATCATCGCAGTTTTTGCTGCCAGAGCTGCAGACATAATCAAGGTATTCAATGCTCTGAATGACGATAAAAGCATTTTATCTCATAATATAGTCGATAGATTCAATAGATTATTTCTTACATATTTAATTCTGTTACTATACTAGTATCCATTCACGATTACAGTGTCAATAATGGTGCGTGAATTCGCTGGTGGCAACACCTTGACATAGGGACTTTGGCTTGACAATTGTGACGTCCCTCATGCCTCTATATTTGACTGATATAAAGAAAATAATTCACAGAGTTATAAGCAGGATGAACAATGTCAAATAGTTATCCTTAATTTGATAAGATAAATATTGTTGCATAAGGTCAGTGGTTGGCAAATAACTTGGACCTAGAAGACTATCCAAGAATTAGCTAATTATGCATCAACTTCCTCGAAATGTTTTTTTTTTAATGTTTTGCATCATCGAAATGTTCTCTTCTCCGAAATGTTTTGCGTCATCGAAATGTTCTCTTCTACTGTCAACATTTTCTCCTCCAGGAGGCTTGGTCGCCTGTTGGTAAAATTGAGACTACAGAGCCCTGTTATGCCGGAGTCTGTGGAGAGGATCTCTATCAAGCCAACTCATCTTCTTGCCTTCATTACAGCCTTATAACCTCCATCTTAGCCGCACTAGCCTACTCACTACCACACTTTATTGCCAGGCAATAAATGTAGTGTTAATACATTTTGTAATTATACCTTGAAATTACATAGTTATTTAAAGAGATGACAATTTTTAACTGGTTTGATTTAATGTAGTTAACGCAGATCACTGATAACCACGGGAAAAATGGCAAAAGAAGAATGTCGAATTATGTCGTTTAACCATGTCACATGCCTACCAAATTTTAGACTATGTTTGCAAATAATAAAATAAACATTATTTCATTTTTGCCTTTTTCACTTCAACCTCTATATTTTCTTGAGATTGTTCATGCTTCGAACAATAATATCTAATTTCACTCCTGTGAATTCAAGGTTTTAATTCACAGTCATTTTAAAAGTATGTGTGTATGTAAGAAAAAATATTATATTTTCGATAAATACGATAAAATATTCATAATATTGTCAAGATTTTATGAAAGTGAGCTGAGTGTTGTATCCATTCCTTTCCACCTTCTGATTTGGAAAAGTTTTCAAATTTCAGTTAATGCGACGAATGACGTCATAGTTTATTTATTCACGATCACTACTTATCATCCTGTTAAATCGTAGTAATTTTAAAAGTATGTTGCACATCTTACTTCAAAGTAAATTTCGCTGACACAGGAAAGATTTTTCTGGATTTTAAATTTAATATTATAAGTCTTATCGGCCCCACTGAATGAAGTATTGATCAAGACAAAGTTTTCAGGCTCACACGCGATGCCCTTCACACTTTGACATTACTGAAAATTAAAATTACGTTCCTGACTTATTAATTTAACTGAATTCTTTACGATAACAAATTAAAAGCATAACCTTGGCTTTCTCTTAATATTGAAGCACTTTTACTACAGTGGGAAAATTTTTGCAATATAACGCGTAAAGTCTACGGTGATTGCAACGAATATTTATTTAGTTCTCAACATTTGGGCTCATTTTAGACGGTATAGCTAAGACATCTGATACTGTTCCTCTTATACCCGTTATGCATAATTTCGTAATTTCGCAATCAATAACAAACGCGATCTCTGTATCTTAGCTGCAAACTGAATTATTTCTCTTGTGAAACAAAAACGTAGAATGTTATCATAAAACCTCCCTTATCTTTCAGCCATTATTTCTCTTGTGAAACAACTACGTAGAATGTTATCATAAAACCCGTGGTTGACCGAAACACAAGATATAGCACGCGACGATGCAGTCATCAGTATATGTTATTAGAATAGCAGGTTATTACAATAGCTGATTATTACAATAGCCGATTATTACAATAGCTGGTTATTACAATAGCTGTTATTGCAATAGCAGGTTATTACATTAGCAGGTTATTACAGTAGCAGGTTATTTCAACAGCCTGGTAATTAGGAAACCTTTAAGATTAAATATTTGCAAAACCTGTCAGGCATGAGAAAAACAAGCATCGCGGCCAAGCTACAAATAAATAAATATTGCAATGTTAAGACCTCGGTTCCTGACTCGGTCCTGCTAAAAGCTACCTGCTTTTTAAACGAGGCGTGCCTTTTTGTATTGCTGGAATGAGGATCGAATGGCCTGCATTTCTAATGTTTTCAAATTATTGAGTTCAAATTCAAATACCAAAATAACGTGAAATGCCTGTTGCTGATTGAGTGAGTGTGTCGGAATGTTTCACTGTCTAAAAGTTAACGTTTCAAGCCACGCACTACCAAATTCTTTGGTTGATACGGTTTACAATATTAAAATGATAGTTCATTTACAATTTACATCCTCGAAATGTATTTTTTTATCAGATATTTGAATTACATGTGGAAACTCGTATTTCTGGACCCATTTCACGGCGCAATCGAAAAGAACATTGATACTTTCTTTGCGACGCTTTTTCGTTAATGAGGCATGCGTTTCATAGATCATGCATCAATGATGGAATAAAATACTATTTGTCTCTCATTTTTATTTATATAAAGTGAACATCAATGAAGTTTCGATTAAATATCGAATTAAATTTGAATGTTATTAATTACTCTACGGCTATAATCAAAATGACGAATTTTCAATCGAATGTTTTGTTAACTTCCACGACACGAACGAAGTTTGATACAAAGATTTTTACACGTGATTGATTGTTCACTAATATTGTATACTATTTTAGTATATATTATACTATTATATTATACATTATGTTGTTACATATTATTATATGTTTTTATTATAGATCATAGCCGCTCACCATTTACAGTATAAAAAAGACTTGAGTAAGAATGGGGCGATCCGGTATGCCTTCTAGTATATTGAATCAAAGACCATGAATGTTTGGCCTGTCGTCGTTATGAACGATAATTCATTATCTAGAGTGTAGTGAAAATTCAGCCGTGACGATTTCGAAGAAACGTTCCCATGGTCGAACTAGTAGTATATATATAGTTCAACCATGAACGTTACATTGTATGTACAAAAATTGTACATTGTTTGTGCAATTTGCTAATGAGAAATTGTTATTGTATGCGATGTGCTGCGCGCACTTCACAAAATAATGTGCACCCGCTACAAATTATGCTTACATGATTTTTAAAATTAATTCATATTGGAAAAAAGCTTGATTAATAAAATTTTAATATTAATAAAATAGTAATGACAAAAAAACCGTGCAATTTGACTGTTGCGCGATCAGTGTTTATAAAAGCTCTTATAGGCTCACCCGGCGTTCAAATTAGCCGCTCTTTGAGATCTCTTCAGCTTCCTTGCACGCCACTATTGCGACCGCATCATGAAAACTGAGATTTAATTGTCAACCTCCTGGAAAAAGCTTTTTGAGTTTACTTGAGCTTCCTTAACGGTTTCGCCCACTCGGATGCAATCATTAACTTACCGTAAACCCTTTTGATTTGAAAAAAATTCTGAATAACAATATGATTTCACTAATAATCTAAAGTATGCTTAAAACATTTACTAAACATTAACATGATCTAGTACATAAACATGCACTAAATAAGTGGCCACGAGCTTTTATGTTGACGAAGGTACGTCCAAGCGAAGCATCTGACGAGGGCACAATTTGGTCGCCTGGCGGGCTAAGATGCCCAGTGCCCATGCCATTCAAAATGTATTCCCCCAAATATCTCTAAGACAATTATACCCGCGGCGACTATAATATGACTAAGATGATAAATTGAAAACAAATATAATAATCATGACAAAATGATAAATTGAATGAGTAGCAATCGTCCTTTGAACCACTTTCTGCATTTTCAGCGTCAATAACGTAACTGCTTTTTTCATTCTCTGCTTTATTATTAATGAATAAAGTCATTGCAATACTCACGTTACTCATTTGTTACAATGGAGAGTATATGAGACTTAAAGACAATATTGACTACAAAAATGTCGACTACTTTTTTACATTACATATTTAATTGACCTGGTAAATAATGGAATTATATTTGATCACTCTTTGACGTGTGCAAATAAAGAATCTAGAGTTTATACGATCATTGAATCAACGTTAAATTTGCCTTACTTGATTTGCTAAATGCTAAATCTGCCAAATTGCCTTCGTGTACAATACAGGCCTCGTGATAACAGTTATTAAAAATTTTACTGGACTTTGAAGAACACTTTGATGCCTTTATAATTTTTTCCAGTCTAATGGAAGTCAGCCAACATTCACACAATGCAGTTCTGACTACATCAATCTTGCTGCTACAAGATCGATGCAAAGTCTCATCGACATTGTTTGATCTTCTTTGTTGCCCTGAGCGTGTAATTAGAGCGCCGTATATATGCCAGTGTGGGCTTCACACGAGAATATTTCTTGTGTTTTTTGTTGCCCTGAGCGTGTGATTAGATCGAGCAGCCGTATAAATACCTGTGAGAGCTTCGCATGAGAACATTTCTCGCGTTCTTTGTTGCCCTGAGAGTTTGTTTAGAACGCCGTATATATTCCAGTGTGGGCTTCCCATTTATAATGGGAAGCCCCAAATTCATTGAATATATTGCAACACTAAATGTATTCCAACACTAATTTTCGGAAAGACTTTGAACTGAGAAATAAAGACGAAACAAGGAGGTGAACAATCTTATATATTACAAACGGAAAGAGCGGTTATCATCTTTCATTATACAAAAATTTGAAAATTCGTAGGTCGGAAGTGAATGAACTGGAAGAAAAACTTTAAATCTTGGATCGGTCTCTGCATGATGGAGCACCGTACATATACTTTAATTTCATTTCTAAGTCATAATACAATATCGCTGATTTTTTTTACGCAATTGCGTGAATGCATGAACTGTGTTTTAACCTCAAATTGCATATAACAATAATTGTACATTTTGTGTAGGGCTGTTACAGGTCATATCTCAAGTATCTTGTATAGGCTGATTTGTACAACTGCCAGCAAATTATATCATTCAGAAGATCCCCTTGAATTACTCATAATGAAGTTAACAATCAAACCGCAACTGTGCCTGTTCTTCGTCACGTGGACTAATGCAACAGACGAGCTATTTAGTTCAGTAACCCCATCAACTTTAAAGCCTATCGCAGAATTTATATTATCTCTGTCGCAAAGCATGGACAAAACTGATGTGTACCTCAACATAAAACTCGGATTGGGTGAGCATTTTTGCAAAAAAAAATAATTTTCATTGATTTCTGAAAATTATTCTTATTTCAACAAAAGTATGTCCGATATTGAATATAATTGGTCATGTTAGGTATCAGCAAAGTAAATTCGGAAAATTTCTTACATAAAATGTGAAAAATGTTTATGAATGTTTATGTAATGTTAAAGAGCGTGTTAAGTTTGTTTGTTCAACTCCGTGCACTTGCTACAATATTAGGAGTTATGTAACAGCAAGCAAGTACTTGTTTCAAGTTTCCTCATTCCAGATGAAGCTGAGCAGCGTAAAATCTTCCAACGGATACGATTGTTTTCACTTCAGTATGGCAAAAGTTTAATTAACTTATACGAAAGCTTTCCGAGCATCAAAGACCCATGTATCAACTCAATCGCATGCGGAACAACTGACTCGAATGGGCAAGTCCGTTACTCAGCTGGCAATGGGTTTGCTAACAACTCGAAACACTTTAACGTATCGGGCCAAGAATTTGAAAACATTTCTCATGAAGTTCCCTTCAACTCGACTTCGGTATCTTGGAGCGCAGAGTTGGTGCGATACCGAACTCTGCGGTGGCAATACGGCGTCAACCGCTGCCACCACAGCCTGCCTGCCACCCCTTCAATGCGAAGTCCAGGCTGCAACACGCAG